GTCGGTGTGTGCGGGCCCATTACCAGGCTGCTCTCCCCGGGGCTCTGGGGCAGAGCGCTGCTCCGCTGGAGGCCGCGGGTTGTCCATCTGTCCCACAGGAAAGGTCATGTCTGCCCTGTCCGCCTCTCAAGACGATGGTGTGAAGGATGGACGCGATGAGGGTGAGGGTGGTGGTGGTGGTGATGGTGGTGAGTCTCTGTAAGGAGCAGCCCCCACCTTCCCGTTCTGTGGAAGCGCCACAGTCGGGACTCCAGCCCCGAAGGCTGGGTCGGACCCAGGAAGCACCTGTGGTTTGGAGCACACGATCCCTGTGCCTGGCCCAGGGCAGTCAGAGCCCTCCCTGGTTCCCTGCTTTGACCCTGGATGCCAGACGCGGGCTGCCTTTGGCCAGAGCTGAGAGGTGGCGCTATCCTGGGATTCCCTGAAGACCATGGTGGGGTGAGGGTGGGGGGCTGTTCCAGGGTACAGCAGGGCTAGACCCCTTTTCCTGCCCCCCTGATAGATGTTTTTTTCTGACTGGAGACAGACCTGGGTCTGAACACTTTCCTCCACCTCCCATAAAACCAGGTCCCATCTATTAATTCATTCACACCCCACTAGTATGGGCCACACCGTTCCCATCCATGTCATGAGATGACTAGGCTTCTAAACACTCACTACAGGGGCCCCTGGGTCGGGATGGGGCGAGGCCATCAAGTCCAGGAGCCCCAGAAATTGCCCAAAGTGTGTGTGTGTGTGTGTGTGTGTGTGTGTGTGTGTATTTCTGGAGAAAGGGCTCATGGCTTTCCTAGGATTCTACGGTCTTCATGACCCTAAAAAGGTGAAGAAGAAGTACTGCCTGGAGTGTAGGGGAGGAAAGAAGCCCCCAAACTGCTGGAGGGAGAGGACTTGGAACAGCCGGTCTGGTGAGCAATTGACTAGACCTTGGAAGTTGCAAATTGAGCTGTGTGTTGGCCAGACTGTCTACTCCTAGGTGTACGGGTGAGAGAGCACAGAGTGATGGATGAAGGTGTTCACAGCAGCAAAATAACTGTAAACCCTTAAATGTGCAGCGACAGGACAATGACTAATACATTGTTGTGTTCAGACCCTGGGATGCCATGCAGCAATGAAAAGAATAAGCTAAACCTATATGGAATTTATTCATTCAACGGGTGTTTATTGAACACTTACTATGCACTACCCATGGTTTTGGCAATGGGCCTATAGGGATATATAAGACAGATCAAGTCCTGTCTCAAGAAGTTACATCTGAGTGGGTGAGATAGTCATAAACAGACACAGAAAGTGATTTTAAGGAGTGTGATAAAGGCCAAGAAAATAAAACTGAGTAAGGTGATAGAAAGATGGGGAAGGGGCTGTTTTAGGCATTATGGTCAGGGAAGGCCCCTCTGAGGAAGTGACCAGAATGAGAGAGACTCAGGGAGAAGAAAGACCCAGTGAGGTGGATGGCTAGGGCACACGGACAGGGAAGAAATGCAATCTGAAAAACAATGTATAAAAGAAAAGCATTCTTTATTGCACCCACTAGCATTACCACAAAGTTAGAAAAGGTTCTGGAAGGGTATATGCCAAATTCATGAAGGTAATCGTCCCAACTAGGAAGACCAAGGGACAATCAACACTAGGCCTCATGGTGGACTTCAGGTTCCCTCTAATATTTAGATTTTTAAATATTTAACTACTTAGCATTTTAATATCTCAATGATTTAAAGGTGCATACACTCACATATAACTTTAAAAATTTTTAAAAAGTGTTTAAATCTACCACGATGAAGAGGGTTGGTTCCAGGGCAGTGAGGGGACTTACACACTGCCTTTCATTGAACCCAAGTTCCTGGGGGAAGTGGTTGGTTTGGGGAGAGGACACACTGTTGGATCAGGGGAGCCCAGAAGAGCTATGTAGCTCAGCCTAGAGAATCAGGAAGCTTCTTGGAGGAGGAGCCACCTTTGCTGAGCCACCAGCTGGCTCAGGATCCCCAGAAAACATGATGTGTGTGCAAGGACACAAGGCAAGAGCGTTCAGAATAAGGAGAATCTGAACCTACAAACTCCCAGCTGAGTCTCCTGCTTCCCTGGGCCTCCTCTCGGGCAGGCCCCTCCACCCACCCCAGTCCCATAGCTCTGCGGGCTAGAGGCCCGGCTGGCTCCGTCAGGCCGGAAAGCATCGCCACCTGCTGGCGCAATAGGGAAATGCAGCTCTCACTCTCCACTGAGCAACTAGGTTTCACCCTTCAAAACCCACTTCCTCTTCCTTCAGAATGACCAACCCCTCCCACTCCAAGACTGTTCTGCTTTCCCTAGACAGTGCCTGGCAGGGCCCCTAGCGTTGCCTGCTTGAATCTTATCTGCAGGAAGAAAAAGCCCTTTCAGGAAGGGGCAACCATTCTGTCACTCTAGTCAATGGGTACAGATCATTCATTACTCACCTGAAATGGTGGCACCTCCTGGCAGCATAGTCTACAAATTGTGTCTATAGATTCCTGACCCTTGCTACCAACCTTAGGGATAGACAGTCCATTTGACAGCTTGGAAAAAGCCCCCAGGGAAGGGCTTGTCCACTGTCACAGTGAAATGTGTGCACAAGCTGGCCCTAGAACACAGATGCCCTAGGAGGCAGCCCAGTGGGGGTACAGGGGGTGTCACCATGTTTGAAAATAATTGGTGCAGCCTAGAGCAGTGATTCCCAGCTTGTGGTCACTGAACAGCAGCAGCAGCAGCACCTGGGAACTTATTAGAAAAGCAAATTCCCAGGTTCCACCCCAGACCTACTGAATTAAAAACTCTGTTTTAATAAACCAGTTTGAGAACTGAACCTTTGGTCTAAAGCAATTCACTCCTCTTTTTATTAAATAAACTTTTATTTCAGAAAGATTTTCGATTTACAGAAAAGCTGCCAAGTTAGTACAGAGTGTTCCCAGCCAACCCCAACGTCAACATCTTACATGGTACTAAGTTGTTACAGCGAAGAGATGACATTGGTGTGTTGTTATTAACTAAAATCCAGGCCTTGTTTAGAGTTCCAGGGTTCCCACTAATGTCCTTTTTTTGTTTCAAGATTCAATCCAGGCTATCACACTGCACTTATGACTACATTCTTTTTAAATTCTATTGCTCACCTTCGTCATCTTTCCTGGGACAGGGAATGGGTGGGAAAGCGATTGTCTTCATTACTGGGCTTGGGAAACTGGGACTTGAAAATGCCAAGTGACCAAGATCCGTTGGCCCAAACCAGCTCCCTAAGGCAGGCAGGGAGAGCAAGGCCTGCCTCACTCTACACCCTTCCTCTATGTCTTCCCATCCCCCCAGGACTCTTGGCTTTCAGAGCCCCTGTGGAATGTCCCACCTGACCTACCCCATCCCACCAGCGCACATAATGAAATGTCCCTCGTAGCGGGAGCCCAGACCTGGGAGAAATCCACCCTGCCCTATCACCTCTTCCCTGAGATGTGAGGCCCAGGACAATGTCTTAGTGACTTCAGCCAGGGCAGAGAGATGCCCTGTGCAAGAGAGTGAGAGAGAAACACTGCTATTTGCCTATGCAAATAATTGGTGAGAGATGAAAAATGCCACAAATTATTTTCAGTTTCTCTAAGAGGAATAGACTGTTTCCCCACGCCTTGAATCTGGGCTAGCCTTATGATTTGTTCTGACCCAAAGAACTTAGCAGAAGTGATGTTATACCAATTCTGGACAGAGAACTGAAGAAGCCTCACAGCTTCTATTCTCATTCTCTTGGAATCCTGAGGCCATCAGGTGATTAAGCCTGAGCTAGCCTGCTGGAGAGGCCACACGGAAGAGAACTAGTCACCCAGGCAACAGCCCGCCAACTGACAGACAAGTGAGTTAGACTATCCTAGATCCATCTGAGATGACAGCTGATTGCAAACAGTCCTGGGACTGACCCTAGGCGACATCGGAATTGTCCAGACTACACCCAGTCCAAGCTGCCAACCCTCAGAATTGTGGGTAAATAAACGACTTGTCTTTAACTACTAAGTTTGGGGACGGTATGTTACACAGCAAAAACTAGCTGATACAATTACTCATTTCTCTCTTTGTAGTGGGATTCTGATTTTACTTCAAGAGGCAGTGTGCCAGTCGCAGGAGATGGGATATGATTGGTCTACTCAATTGTGACAATTCTGTTTCCTGCTGTCTTAGCTTACCCCATCTTGGGGTAACAATGGTAGCTGGTTTGGGCCCAGGAGACCTAAGTGGAACTATGCAGGGCAGAGAGCAGGACAAAGGCCTCTGAGAAAGGTCTGACTTTATGATAGAAGTTGACAGGTCCAGCAGGCTCAGCCCTCCTTTCTCCCCCACTACTTTCCTCCTTGAATATAGCCATCTTGTGACCATGAAGTCACAAGCAATGAGGGAAAGACTGAAAGGACCACCGAGATGTGTGGTCTACCTTTGCTGAGTTGTTAAAGCAATACCGTTAGTCATCTGTCTCCAAAATGGAAGCTATGTGGAAAAACAAACCTTTCTATGTTAACCTCAGTTTTCCTTTACTGACAGCTAACTGTATTCCACATAATAGGATATACAAAGACAAAAATGCAGAAGGATCCTTGTCCTTGGGAATCTGGAGCCAGTCACATGTGGTTCTCCAAACCCATCTCTGTTCTCATTTCATCCTCTTAATAATCCCTCAAAAGCAAAGACATGACCCATTTTCACAGCAGTGGGAGCTGGGTCCCCTGCCATTCAGTAGTGAGTCCAAGGTCTTGTAGCTAGCAAAGAGGGTGCTTAGAGTCAGATCCTCCTCCCTCCAGGTGCAAAGAGAATGCTCCCCTGCTACACCTTCTGCACAGCCCAGCCCACTGGAAACCAGGTATATCTTCTTCTGGGCTTTTAGGAATGGTGGCAGGTGCCAAAGAGCCTGCTATTGCAAGTCCGGCGTGGAAGAGCCCAGGTACACCCTTAGGTCTGAGATGGTGGACTGGACAAGCTTGGCAGGGATAGTCTCTCGCTGTAGCTGCTGGTAAGCTGCGTAACGGTGGCAGCCCCCGAAGGAGTAGAAGTAGTCACCACCCTGGGCTCCTTTGATCCAGAGGACATCAATGGGGGGCACGCTGTCTGGGTTCTCCTGGAGAGAAAGGGGCACAGGGTAAGTGAACATGGAACAATGCCTGACAGTTTGCAACGCAGACTTTGTTAACCTGTGCTGAGTTCCTATAGGGTGCGCACACTGGTTCATGCTAGCTTGTGAGAAACACTGTCAAATATTCAGGAAGTTTGTGTGTTGGTTGACATCATCCTAGTAACTTGAAATTCAGCCATGGTGAGAGTATTTACACCAGGGAAATGGGCAGATACTACAAAGCAGGGCTTTTCCTCCCTAGAAACCAGGTTGTTAAACATTTATCAACACACCACATGCATAAATACCTATATATACATACAAACAAACTATATATCTACCTGGCATTGTTCTAGACACTGGGAATAAGGTACAGCCGGAATGAGACAGACACAGCCCTTGCCTTCCTGTTATGGACCTGCAGCCTGCTGAAGGGTGGGTGGTCCTCTAAGTGGGGAAAGCCTAAGGCAGGGCTGGGTAGGGAGCAGAGCACGCTGGGGAGACCACTCCCCATGGCTTCTCTCTTATTATGCTACTAGAGGCCCGGTGCACAAAAAGTTGTGCACTTGGGAGGGTCCCTCAGCCCGGCCTGTGCCCTCTCGCAGTCTGAGACCCCTCAGGGGATGACTACCTGCAGGCTTAGGCCCGCTCCCAGGGGGACTGGGCCTAAGCTGGCAATCAGACATCCCTCTGGCAGCCCAGGAGCCCTCAGGGGATGTCCACTTGCCAGCAGGGAGCAGGCCTAGCTGCAGTCGGACATCCTTAGCGCTGCTGAGGAGGCGGGAGAGACAGCTCCCCCAAGTGT